CCCTAGGGGCCGGTCTGTAACATGGTACAAAGGAGCCTGACTTCGTTGGATCTCCAGTCACTATATATAATAACCTGGTCTAATCAACCAGATTTTTAAAAAAAATTCCTGAATGACCATATCAGACTTTGATGAAATTCCATAAAAATGATCCACTGTATGAAAAACCAAAAAAAAAATAAAAAAAAATTGCCTTTTAGGATATGTAGTTTCCGAGATACTGATGTGCAAACACAATTTACTTCAACTTTGGGAGCTTATAACTCAGGATTGGTAATAGCTTTCAAGGTCAAACTTGGTATTCTAACTTATTTTTTGCCATATTTCTTAAATATGGCCTTAGATTATCAGTTATTCCTTCCCTTTTGAAGTTTTCTGCACTCAAAATAGCTGCTTTGTTTAACGATGCAAATTTTTTTGTGATATTCGAGGTCACCCTGCGTCCATATGAGTCGGTATATACCCCTTGTATTACAGATATATTATCTATGTGTAGTTGTCTCTAGCCACATGCAAGCGCAGGCTGATCAAATAAATTAAAATTGAATGGCATATATTCAAAGTTGGAACCAGATCTATAAAAGAGAAAAATGCCTTCTCAACAACGGATCTTCATGTGGACAGTTAAAATCTTTTTTTTAATTTATCCCAGTTAATCAGATATATTAGATCTACCTATAAACCAAATTTCAGCTTTGGTACTCAGCTCCTTCATGGTTAGATACGATATTGAAATCTACACATATTTTAACACAATCAGAAATCACGAAAGTTTTTAAGGGTTGAGTCATTCTATGCCAACTCAAAATGCATTACACCAGGGTCATAGATTTTTAAAAAAATTTTTGCACACTGACTCAGTGATATAGATGTCTATGTGAACTGAAAAACCTGAAATTTTGAGACTCGCCAATTCATTTGTTTTCCTGTAACGGCAGTTTGAGGTTAAGGGGGTGTGGCCTCTCAACAAATGCATTACAGATTATAGATTTTTTATTTTTTGTACTCTCCAGCCTTCTTGTGAAGAAAAACCTGAAGTTTTGAGACACAAATTCCCTTTTTGTTTTCCCGTAGCGGCAATTCAACGTAAAGGGGGTGTCCCTCAAATTAACTTTGATTTTCATATGCTAATATCATCATACAACCCCTCCATTTGTGGTGTAGGACACCTTTTACTGCTGATTCCAAATCCTTAAAAACATATTTTAACACATCATCAACAATAATACCCTACTTTTATATAAATATTTTTTACTTTAAATTTCTAAATCTTTGTCAGAGACCTGTTAATTTTTCTATGAATTTCAAATTTATTGATCTAAAGTTATTTCTGGTTTAATTCTTAAAGGGCAACTTCAACCTGGCTAATAATAACCTCATCGAATTTGTATTGTGGGTGACGCCCTTATTATTAGTAAGTCACAGCACTGGGACATCACATGTAATTTCTTTGTGGCCAATGTATGGTTAATTATTTTCTGGAAACTTTCTATTTCTGTTTCATGAATATATTCATGTTCGATTCATGAATAGAAACTTTCTAGAATTCATATTATATTCATATTTATTTTGGGCCACACCCCCTTAACTTCAAACTGCCGCTACAGGAAAATGAACGAATTGGCGAGTCTCAAAATTTCAGATTTTCAGTCCACACTATATCACTGAGTCAGTGTGCGGAAAAAAAAAAAAAAAAATCTTTGACCCATGGTGTAATGCATTTGTTGAGTTGGCATGGAATGACCCAACTCTTAAGAACTTTTGTGATTTCCTATGATGTTGAAATATGTGTTTTTAACATAGTATCTAGCCATTAGCTAAGTACCAAATCTAAAATTTGGTTTATAGGTAGACCTAATGTACCTGATCAACTGGATGGGGAGTAAATTTAAGAAAAGATTTTTACTGTCCACATA